TATACGTAAATTATTTAAATAAAGGACACGAAGAACGGTTTAATTTAAGTTAATGATTAATTAAAAATTCTCTGTTAGGATTAATTCCTTACTGTATACTATGCTGCTGTAACTGTTTCTATTTTTATTTTTATTTAATTACTGTGTATGCATATTAGCTTATAACCATATGATGAATAAATAAATAAATAAATAAAAACATTGAAAACTCTAATGCATTCTTATTCTTGTAATCTATTCTAATTCTAACAAATTTAAAAGATTAATTAAGAATAATATAATTTAGATACATTTAAAATTCATATTTATGTATACCAAATTCCAAGATGGTAGCGGAATTTCCATTGTATGTGGGTTTCAAGAAGAAATTGTGCGTAAAATTTTATACATATTTCTAGTTTGTGTTACATTTACATATAATTACAAAGAATACCGCAACGACTACTGACTTCGGTTCTGAAAGTATCTGCATCACAGTTCCCTCTCCCTAAAACAAGGTGCAAGGAAAGCACATACCCTGCGTCACTTGTACAAAAAACCGTTCATATTATCATTGAATTCTTAATATACATAAGAATGCTCGAGTCAGTTGTACTCGAACGCAAGACCCCTAATGATACCTTACCACCCATGGAAAGCTCTCATTGAAATTTCCCATGGCGCTGAGAAAACAGCATCAAACGGAAAGCCATTTGAAAGGCGAGCCGTGACTGAAGGGCGGTCAAGAAGTCCAGGGACCGGAAGCGGCCCGTAAAAAGGAGTTCGCGCCCCGTTATCGGGTGTACGCGCGAGAACGCATAGGAGTCCTCTCTTAAATGTACACACGAAGGAAAGGGGGAAGTCGGACGAAAAGTGCGCACCCCACCGAGGAAACAGCCCAACAGAGCCAGCGGGGTTTCTTAGGGTGAAAAGAGTAAAAAGGTCCCCGCGCCAATACAATTGGCCTCTAAACAGAGGGTAGTTATAGCGAAACGCAATGCCCATTGGGGTGACGGGGGTTACGTGGTGATCCTCCGTCTTGCTCGCTCCTTCGTGGTCGTGTTTCGCCCTCGTGTAAAAGCAAAGGGTGGTCACCTTCGAAACGATTCGGGGTGAGAGTTTTCAATGCACCGACCAACAGCTCATGCACAACAGAGAAAGAGAAAAAAAAAAGAGAGAGAAGGAAACGAAATCTATGACGAAGGGTGGTTGTACGAGAGAGGTGTCGTTTGACGAGAACCTGACGTCTCTGGTTCTTCCTTCTCTCTTTATTTTCATTCTCCTTTCCCTGTCATGGGTGGCGCGGTGCCATACAATGGCCGTCGCGTACGAAATTCGAGGTTACGAATTTCGCTTTGGGAGCCGGGGCCGCGTCTCGCCCATTGTCCTGCAGCTGGCTGGCTTCGTTCGCCGTGCGAAAAACGTTCGATCGATTTCTGATCTCGACGGTTTCGTGGGCTACCTGGGCCCGCGCACCAAATCGATTTGGTTGTCGAACTTGTGACCGAGGGTCACACACACACACACACACACACACACACACACGCATTATAGGCGAATCCATCTTACGTGGCAGTTGGGGGGTTGGAATGAGCATCACGGAACAATCGGTGATCTCGATCCAAGGGTGACTACTTACATCGGTTACGGTTAAAAAGGGATTAATATCGATGTCTGGTAGTACATATTTTTGTTTGAATTTTTGATGAAGTTCTGGGTACAGGGTTCGGGAAATGATTGAACACAGACTGGTTAATGAAATTCATAGAGTCATTTATTACTTCGATTCGTCGATAATAATAAATATATGCACATATACGATAAGAGACATTGTTCGTTTTTTACTCCTTCGATCGATCTGTCGTTCGACAATAAATTCTCTGTGTCGTGGATCTTGCGACGAATATGTTTTGAATGAAATCCGTGAATTACGATCGGTTTGAACGATCGTACTACTTAACCAAGGGATAACAATTTAATCATAACAAACAGAATGTACAAGGCTCTGGTCGATTAACGTCGAATAGAACGCGTATGTGTACCATCCTCGTTCTCCCATGGACTAGCGATTCGCGAACACTCGTAGAACATTCATAAACGCTGGTACAATATACACACGTTGTGTAAACGGAAGAGAACAAGGATTTTCAACAAACTCAAGAGAAAAAATCGAAAACAACAAAAGTGATTCGTCGGACGCGATCGTCCTCTCCATAAATAACCCTATACACGGTGCATCTATTTAGCATGTGTGCTCCAAGACGTTAATTACAACAAGGTACGAGTTTTTTTTGTTAAACCTACGGAAACGACACGTACACGTGATTGATCGTGTTCCTCGCTAGAACAACCCATAATAAGTGTTCCACCATAGTCAGTGCAAAATAAATACAATATGTACGAAAATGTAAATTATTTACATACTCACTGATGCTGAAGTGAATTTCAAAGGAAACGAACAGAACGAAAAAGTAAACTTAAAAATAAACTATTAACTTAATCGTAAATGTTTTATTCAGAATGAACTAGAATGCGAGAATAACAATAATAGTTCGATACATCAAATAAAAATTTTAAATACTCCGTTACTTGTAATCGAAGACTTTTTTCTTTGTATAGGAGTTGTTCTCGCGAGGAACGCGCTTACGACGTAACGAAATCACAGTTAACGACTGGTCCATTTACAATCCGGACCACGGTGACGAAAATGCTTTCGCGGAGAGCATAGTAAAATAGCGCTGCGAATAACAAATAGAAAATACTTCGAGAAATTTACTTTTATTCGATTGCACGTACTATCATCTTCGTATATACACACGTACACACACATATATATATAATATATATGTATATATTAATTTAAGAAATATCATTTCGTTAATTACAAATCGTTGGCTTTTTATGTTAGAGATGAGCAAACTGTTTATTCGCGTAACACATAACAAAAGAGCAAACACGTCAATGTACAACGACACAATCGATCGAGAACGATAAATTCCGATCAATACATTCCTGAATAAAATTTCATTCCGCAATTACAATTTACATGTTCATTCTGCCGACGAATTAAAACGATTCCCGTATCTCGCATTAGAAATCTTTTCCTTTAGTCAAAGAAAAACAGTTTTGCCCATCACCGTGGTAAGTCCAGTACAAGCGCAGCAAATTCCTCAAACTATTTCTCGCTCGCCGCCAGCAAAACTCCACTTCCGGGACGGCCGGAAACCACGAGATCACGAGGGCTACGATACACAACGCGGAGTGTGTCTCGATTTGATCGTGATCCGACGCGATCCACGGATCAAAGACGGAAATATCACATTACGTAGTTTCTCGCTGGCGAATCGCGCACGATCTCATGGATCCTGGACGAAATATGCTCGTTCGACGAGGACGGAGGTCTCCACGGGGATCTAGCTCATGATCGTCCACGCGATCGGAATTCCTCGAGCACCAGGAAGTTCCGAAAATTCGATCTATACTGCCTACTTCAAGACAAGCAGAGGCGAATACATACTCATGTCGCTCATTTGCCACACAACAATATAACTAAAAAATCACGATTTTAGGAAAAACGAGTTTGAGTATTTCGATCGCCATAATTTTATATGAACATCATATTAAAGTGACTTTCCCGTGGTAAGTTCTAGAAGCTCTAAAAAATAATTCTGAAAAGCTCTAAGAATTATTAATAACTAGAATGCAGATTCTATGCATTTATAAAACACCCAATCGTTTAAAATTGTGTCCAGTACAAAATTTGAGAAAGTTTCTTCAGGTTTATTTTTTACTTCGAACCTACCAGAACCCTTAACAGGATAAATAATTTTTTCTTTACGTTCAGTTATATGAAATTAGCCAATAAAATTTGATATCTGCAAAAATTGAGTTGTGTAATTCTTGATGCAAATGAGCGACGTGTGCCAAGCAAGATCTAACGGCGACAGGGTCATCCACCGTCCCACGAGAAACCGTCCTCGCTAACCACGAGCAGGACTGGCTCTCCGTTCGTTGCTTAACCTACGCGGATCGTATATTACCGGGTACTATTTACATCCGTACAAACGATATATTAAACCGAAACAGTAATGACGCTCGAGAGTCGAATGGCGCGTAAAGCTTGGACAAGATCGGTCCGTGGAGACGACGCGACGTGTAGTTGACATCGGAATCAAAAGGGAACGTGGAACAATAGATCGTAACGCGACACTAAGAAGAAGATAAAAGTAGAAAGAAACAGCGTGAACATAAACGGGCGATTCACAGACTCCACACCAGGGGTCTATACAAGACTCGAAAATCTCAAGAGTCGCCAGATTTCGATGATGATCGAGTGACAGGTAAAAGGCACATCCGTAATTAGAAAACATTATTTGAAAACAATGTGCTCCACCTCTCCGTATAGGGAGGTGGGATCTCTCTCTCTCTCTCGTCTATTCACAGGGTACAATGAAAGCCCATTCAATAAAGCAAAACGAATCCATGGCCTAAACGGCTCTTTTGTTCCACCGCATTAATATGCTAATTCAATCATCCGCGTGGTTGCCGGCAAGCCTTCCCCGAAAAGCCCCGGTCAATCCATAATCGACCCAGCTCCCCTTCTACTAGATCCTTCGAATTCTCGCGTCCAGCCCGCCCCCATCAGCCGAATTTGCCAGCGAAAAAAAAAAAAGTAGGGAATTCTCGCGGGGGCTCCGTGTACGTCGAATTCGCCTACGATCTTGCCCCAGCTCTCGATCATTCGAAATATACATAAATTACAACGTCGTCGGGGTTCGGACCGAACATTACATGGTATGTACGTATAGATCACATCGGACGATTACGAGATACAAACTAAAACCTGCGCAATAGCGTCGTCGAGACGCATCCTTTCGTTCTTCAATATACATCGATCGTACCCGTGGTCGAAAGCCAGGCCTCGCGGAATGTAACACACCCAAGACTCACCATCCCGCCTCTTCCGTTCCACGGATCGAGCGTATTCCTCGAAAACACCTAGAGTACAAACCATACGGGATCTAGAATATCACGGATACGGGTCTGCGTAGCTGTTCGAGGTCGAGTGTGGTAGAAGACGTCGGTGTTTGCACCTGATGATGGGAGGACGGGATCGGTGTGGTCCCAGGACTGCTACCGGGACTGCTTGTTGTTGTTACGATGCTGCCCGATCCGGTCGCGGACGACGATGGGAACATTAGGGGCGGATGTGGTGCGGTTGCGCCGACCCCGTGATGTCCAGTCGAGAACAACGGGCCCAGATGTGACGCCGTGTTGGGGTACGGCTTACCTGCTGTCGTTGGTGACGAGTAGAAACCCGAGTAGAAGCTGCTGACCACCGCTGCTGCTGAAGCTGCGTTATTGTTAGCTGCGTCGGCTGCTGCCGCGGCTGCAGCCGCAGCAGCGCTCGTAGAGGTCGATCCTGTGCCACTGCTACCCGCTACCAATTTGCTCAGGTGGACAGCGTCGAACGCAGAACCGAAGTAAGGCGGCAGAGGCGGGTAATCGAGAGGGTGCGGATGGTGATGATGATGTGACACCGGAGCAGCTGGAGCAGCGAAGTACGGCGGAAGTGGGAAACTTGGGAAACCACCCGAGCCCATCGAGCCACCTTTCCCTGACACAGAAGAGACTGGAACCTTCGGTTTTCTTCGTGGACGATACTTGTAGTCCGGATGCTCCTTCATATGCATCGCCCGTAAACGTTTCGCCTCGTCGATAAACGGTCGCTTCTCCGAGTCGGATAGAAGCTTCCACTCGGCCCCCAACCGTTTCGATATCTCGGAATTGTGCATCTTCGGATTGTCCAGGGCGATCTTCTTCCGCTGGATCCTGGACCACACCATGAACGCGTTCATGGGCCTCTTGATGTGTTGCTCCTGAGACGCGGACGTCTGCTGGCTGGCCACGTTCATGTCTTGCGTCACGTGGTGCACGGAATGAAGATCCATGCCCGAGAGGAATCCATAGCCGTGGTGTTGCTGGTGCGAGCTCATCATGGTCACTCCGTTGTTGTCGAACCAGAGAAAACGACCAGCGTTCCGAGACTCGTACGAGTCTATCGTGTTGGCCTCCAACAGTCAACCTGGGGATCTTTCTTCTGTCTTCTCGTTCGAACTTCACGCACTTTTGCGCGGCGACTACCGTCGCGGCTCGAGGGTAGTACTTGTTACTATCCTCATTCACTAACCGATTATTCTTACTCCTTCTTCTCGAAGGAGACGGTCGAACGATGCAAACACCGTGGTAGCTGAGTGATAGAGAAAAGTAGCACGGGAAAACTGACGGAACGAGTGTATGTATCTCTAGGCGTGTGCGCGGCAAACTGTCGAACGTACTCGAATGGAGTGCCGGTGTCGACTGAGCGTGGAGTGTCCGTAGGACCGGTCCACGACCTGCTGGAGGGATCCATTCGTTCTCTCTCTTTCTCTCTTTCCCGCCGCGTGGTGTCTCTGTCGGTCAGGATTTCGAGGGCGGAACCGACGCAAAGCGTCGTACGCCGCGCCCACGAACCGACCCTCTTCACGCTATTCGTCGAGGTTGCCACGGGTTCGAACGGCGTACCTTTTCTACCCTTTCTCCCCACTGAAGCGACTCCACCGGCACCGCCGACCAGAAACAGCAACCCCTCTGTACACCGTACCGGACCGAGGAGGGCTGACTGCCTGCTACCTCGGAGACCGCGAGGCTGCAATTATTATTATCGATTACCTCGATACGATGAAGTACAAATAGCGTATAGGCAACCCGTTATTGACTAGCTCTCTGTTCCTGCACTGCCGCGCACACCAACGTCGGCGCGATATCGCGCGATAATTGGTTACGGCTGGAGACCACCACCCCCACCCATCCCCCTTGTGCTCAACCCCTTCCAGCAGCCGACGGACGAAGGTGGATTCTTGGACGACGAGGATCTTTTAGATTAGATTCTTTTCCACGGACTTGCCAGCTTTATGCGATCCTGACTGGAGTCCTGAGTGTTCTATGGAGGCCTAGTGGAGGGAGTTTGTGTGACACCTGCGTCGGTAAATTGGGGATTCAGTCTTATGGAATTTATTTTTACTTTATTGTAGTGTTTGTTTTTATAGTCGAGAGATATGAAATATAGAGATATTGCAGGATTTATTATTAGTAGAGGCTTATTTTATTTTTATGTTTCATTATTTACACTTTGATGTCGAGTGACGTATTAGTACGTCTTTGCAAAAACGAAAGCTGAGAACGGTTGACGTAGTAGTATGTACTTCTTAAATAAGAAATAGGATAGTAAAAAAAATAGGGAATAATTGCTTTTCTTATGTATATACTTTGACAAAATGAAAGTTAAGTAGTGGTTTCTAAATATTTTTAGAACACAGAGAAGAATCCTATGACAAACGCAGTGATACGACATGGCTCCAAAATAGGGAATCATCGACGTCGTTTTCTTAACGACGGAACTAATCCGCGGGCTGGTTTCGTCGAGTAATTAATCAGAATTCGCATGTTCGGGGCCGTTCTTTATTTTTCTTTCTCCCCGTAGAAACAATGAAAGGGTTGATATTCGCCCAGGTTCCTTTCCTGTGGGAAATCTGAGGAACAATGCAAGGAAAAAAAAAATCTCTCGACGACAGGCACTTGGATTAGAATGGAAAGCAACAGCGGCGAAAGGAGCAGAGCGGTGTGTGCCCCTTTCCCAATCTCGACTCACCGCGCGCGCCCTCGACTCCCAAAGGACATTCAGCAATGCCGAACGAATAAAAGCTCTCTCTCTGTCGGTGAACTGCATTAGTCGTTTGTGCTTTTGTGTCGTGGAGGCGCGTACCGCCTCGGCGCGATGTCTCCTTACTTCGATTCTCAAATAATCGATTAAGTTTCCTGCATTTTCGAGCTGAAGCGCCGCCTTGCTCGACCGTGTGGCGTCGTTGTAACGTTACTTCGATTTATAGTAAAAGGGGTAAGTACTTACGTACCACTCACAGGTACTTATTACATTTTCTGAATCTGATTGATTTCATTTATAATGAAACACTGTTATACAAGTTTACAATTCAATACAGGTAAGTTAGGTGGAACTCTTTGTATTCGATTTGTTGGCCCATCTTAAGGAAACCCCAAGAGAAAACGATATGTATGTTGTCAGTTAGGTACCTACAAAGGGTCTTGACTCTTTCTAAATTTTGTTATTCCTCCTGAAAAAAGAGATTTGAAATTTATATCTAGTTGTAATTATAATGTTTTTAACCCTCCGTGGTCACAGCTCTTCAGGGTTCCGCTCACATGGGGTCCAATTAACTACGCCAACTTTGAGAGGGATGCCATTTTTACAGTCTTCATTCTATTGGATTAAGAAAATTCTGAAACATGGTTTTCACATTGTAGAACATGGAACACCAGCGTTTTTGTAAAAATTTCAATGTTAACATATTAAAAAAATCGTGAAAGTGAAAGTTCTTGAAAAAATTTGTTCATTAAAGAATCGTAACTACATTAATTTTATGTTGCAGAAGTTAACTACAGTTCTGTTACTAAACATTTTATGAAGAATCATAAAATATCCTCCTATTATTACCGAAATTCGTTCTCGATCAAAACCCCCCGTCGATAGCGTTCGTCGAGGCAGACAGCGGGTTGCTTGAGCCCCCAATGACGAGAACGGTAAACAGACAGGGAGGGAAGCGATTGAAGCGCGAAAAAAAAGGGGGGAAAAGAGAGGAGAAGCCGGACTCTTCCGGCTCGCGGAGAAAAATCTCCGGTGGAACCGGTCGCCATTCCGTTGGTCCTGGATTCTGGTGGATAACGGTGCCGGGTCCGAGAGAGCGCAGAGACCAGTCTACGCACAGCTCCGTCCTGCTCACACGCTCCTTCCCTCTGTATGCAGTTCGGTGCAAATTAGTATTGAAAAATCTCGAAGTCAATTAAAACTCGAGATACAAAGGATTCGGCGAGACAAAATACCAATTATCTCATGTCCTCCGCCTGTGCCGCGTCCCTTCGACGTCCCGCCCCCGTCCAAGTGGGGTGGCGAACCGAGAGGGGGTGGGTGGTGGAGGAGGGACGGCTAGGGCGCTCTACAAGAACTCAATTCCATTAAGCGTTGAAGTGAGTAAAACGAAGCAGCTCAGCTCGTGGATGGGCATCTATATAACGTAGCTCGCATCTCTCGGTTATCTGCCTAATAAAGGTTCGACTGCCGCCTCAACCCTCCGCCCTCCCAACCTTCCCTTTCGTCACCCCTTGCACCGGTTCTCCGCTATCCTCCGCGACATAAAGCATGTGCCGTAGAGGTGTCTGTGAGACAATCCCCCGGGATGACAATGCTTATCCCACGTATGAATGCCGGGCGATGCTTTCTAGGTAATTTAAGTATAGCCTCGACGCCACCCCCCGCTTCGACCTTCTCTTTTCATCGACTTCGCTATCCACCTTCGGCCATTCGAGGTGGCCGCATATCTTCGGCTGTGCATACGTATGAAAACCCGTTGTCCCCGTTTAATGATTGCCATTAGCAACGAAAGTCTTTCTCGCGATTCCTCCCTCCCTCTCTCTCTCTCTCCTACACCCCACAACCACCCCTTTTTCTCTGCTTCCCATCTCCTGTGAATTTCGAATGAGCCCGGGATTCCGTCTGGGGAATCCTCCCGTTGATGTTTTTTTTGCGCCCTATCGCGAGCCTATTGCCAAGGTCGATCTCTATGGAAGTGCCGTGAGAATCGCGGGGAGTTTATACAATGGTACCGAGCTTTGTCTGGCGCCGGAGATTACGATTTCGTGAGTGCAAGCTTCGCGAATAAGCGCGCCTCTCTATACGCTCGCGGCTGATATTTCTTTTCTTTAGTTTTTGTTCTCGCGGCTTTAGCCTACCCTCCTCTCCACGCCTCTTTTTGCCGTGCGCGATATTGTGCGTTAGTGGAGCATCGAGAGGCCAGAGGGTGGTGGTGAATAGACAGATCAGCCGGGGCAGTTACAGTCGCACTCTTCGCGGCTGCAATCACGACCTCCCACCTCTGGAAACGATGGTCGTAAACAACGGCGAATAGGTGGAATATCGAACGGAGTCTGAACGATTAATTAAGCCTTCCACAATTAGTCAGATGTGGGAAATGAATCGATCGAAGGTTGATTCGTAGTTGCGGGGGAGAACGGTGAAATCAGTTTACTGGCAACTGGCGAACTTCGGGGAAACTTTAAGCACACGTACCTACTTGGAGACATTAAGGGGGCGAATCTGATTCTGTGGGCTGAGTTATTGCTCGCGTATAGGGTGCTTACGAATTGGAAGGTACAACGGTAACGGGGCTCGAGTTTGGCGACAAATAAACTGATCATACTGTGCTACTACGCTTGACGAGAAAGTGTAAGACTAGGATTTACTCGCTCATCAATTACCGCAATGCAGAATAGATTCCTGCACTAGAATCATGATTAACCCTTATGCGTCCCTTATGTCAATTGAACACATTTTTCTTTCAAAAAATGATGTTATGTTTCTTGTCGTGTGTAGATAAATTCAGCTAAATTTACGTAAACAAATCACTATTCCGAAATATTAATAGGGTAAATTAAAATAAATTATGTAATAATAATAGGGAACCACAATTAGGTAGAATCTAGAGTTACACTGGACGCTCCCCTTCAAAGTAATGTCGTAAGATAGTTCAGGGAGAGTGTCGTGGATTGTAGGAGTCAAAGATGGACAAATGCAGTACCCAGATCAAAAGCTTCGAATAACGAATAAAAGATAATAAAATACGTCACCATTTCCAATTGATTAAAGACAGAAATTCTTATTCGTGCAATGAAATACTACCTTCTTCCTGAATGTTATTTAATCTCATTAACTGTTTAAAACTCAGAATGACGCTTTTAGATACCGATGTTTTTCACGATTTATTATTCGAATAAAATGGTGCCCAGCTCTGGTAGGAATAACCCCTTCAGTAAATTCAGTTGAAGCTCCATGACTTTGATTTTAAAGAATCTACATACATAACTATTTGTCTCATCATTAGATTAATTT